ATGGGATTCCTCATTACCACCTACCCCATTGGTCCTGCAATATCTATCCCAGGATTAAAATGGTTTTTTACCAAAATATCCCCTCCCTCCCTTTTCAGCGTCTTCCTCCTTAGTCATTGTTTCAGCCATTTCCTCCATCTCCAGTATCTGTATTCTTCCATTTGTATTCGTCAGCTCTGGTTCATGGTGTCCTTCTCTCTAGCACACCTCCCCAACCTCATTTTCCCAGCTCTGTCTAATTCCTCTTGCCTTTAGTGCTGCCATTGTTCGATCTGAATCTCCCTCCTCTCCCTTGTCCAAACCCTTCACTACATCGAGGCCTTCAAGTACCAGCATCGATGCCGCAAGCTCACCCGCTATCAATGCAACAATCAGAGAACCCAGAAAAAGACTCAGAATATGGCGGAGAAAGAAGAAGAAGAAGAAGGAACATGCTTCATAAGTCACAGTCAGGCTGATGTGAAACTTGAAACTGAGAGGATCCGTCGTCGTTATCAAGATTTGCATAAACAAAAAAAGATCACTCTAAATTGTGTGGTGAGATAAGATAATGACGACTTTGGGTTTTGAGATGAGAACAGAGAATAGCCACAAAGAAGGAATGGGTTGCGAGAATGGCGATGGACTGAGTGTGGGGGTTGAGGTCGGGGGTGTTATTGTATTTTCAAAATTAATGGCTACTTATAAAATAAAAATAATGAATCCAATCGTTTCAAATATTACTCTGTACCAACCACAATTTTAAAGCCTAATCCCACAACATTCCCACCCCCACTCTCACTCGCATTCCCCTTCCCACTCTCACTGCCAGTCCATCAAAATGTAAGTCCTCCTACCAAAGGGGCCCTTACATCTTCTTAGGTTTGACTTTCCCTTTCGCTCCTTCCTCAAATTTTTTGAATTACAAGGGTAAGAATTAATAACCTTTTTTTTTTTTTTTTGCCAACAGCAAGAATTAATAACGAGAGGTTATAAGCAGAATCGAATCGAATGCATCCATCTTCCAGTTTTAAAGGAATGCCAGTATACTATGAAAACACGTTGGCCTTCTTTCGCATAGTTTTTTTCAAAAAAAATTGAGCAATAGTCTCTTGCAAAATTTTTGCCACCCTATATGTTATTCTCCTTGGACTCCAGAGATCACTTTTTTTATTTTTTATTTTCATGGAAATTAGGAAGTTATTTTCCTTTTTTAGAAATATCATAAAATTTTATGTTTAATGTTAGTTCTTTGTAATTTTTTTTTTGTGTGCTGGCCAACCTTCTTTCTTTAACTTACGGCAAGGGTCTTTTATCTAGTTTACATAAAAATGTGGTAGTAAGTATAGTTTTTTTTTTGGACAACGATGTATTATTAAATATGGGTAATTAAAAATTAAACATTAATTTGTTGTCTATAGTAGTCTTGTCCAATTATGAAATCAGTCTCTAGATTTTAATTTTTTTTTAATGGGCGCCGTACTAAGATTATGTCCGCTAGGCCCTCCTTTCTATAATCTTAAAGCTCTCGTTTTGGAATATAGATCTTTGGGGTGTCCTTTTTTTCGATCAAATTTGAGGTCTCTTGATTATTGAAGAAATATGTCACTATGAAAAATATTCCTTGTCATTCGCTTCGGCTTTTGCCAAAGATGCCATTTGAAGTGAATAATGTAGCGCATAAAATGATTATTATTATTATTTTTTATGATAGTAAAAGCAACTCAATTTGACGTTTAACATAAAAACGTACAATTATAATCTTATTATTAATATATGCAAAAATGAAATATTCATTTAGCAAAAATGCAAGTGTTAACCTTGTGAAATTCATGTTATTTCAGCACCTTTTCCCTTAGTTATCATATTTTTTTGGTGCATTAATGCATAGTTGGAAGTATTTAGGATAGGAAAATGTGCATTGTTGATACTTGGGCTAAAATTGTGATTTTTTTGTTAATTGTGAATATTTTGCCCCTAGTCTATCAACTTGGTTTTAATAGTTTTTCTTGCTTTGTTAGGCGGTTGAAGCTTACTAAGGGAGCCATTTGAATCAGATATTAATCCCATGAAGTTGGAAAGATGCATAGGAAGCCATGACACATTAAAAAAATAAGAAAAGAAGAGATGCAAAACAGAGCATTCTTGGCCTCAGCCAACAGTATTCTAGAGAGCAATTGGCCACAACTAAGGAAAATATTGGCTGCAGCCAACGCAGAATTATTGATGCTCTGCGTTTTGAAGACAGCATGTGTTTAGGGCTCCATATGCTATACAATTCGAGGGATGCGGCATTTTTCACCATTCTTCACCTCTGGAGGCTCATTTTGGGAGGTTGCTCTGCTAGGGTTTGAGATATTTGGAGCTATGGAAGCCAAGATTTGAAGATTTGAAGAGATTCAAGCCTATTTTCTTTGGTTTTGCTATCTCCTTCCTCTTTCCTCTTCATTTTTCTGATATGGCTGTAGTTGTTCATTGTAGTTATGGTTGTTTTCTGAACATGAGTAGCTAAGCTTCTATTCTAGGATTATTTTGAACCCTTGTATGGATTAAATACTCATTTTCCCTTTATATTTGTGATTAATCATATGATTATGTTGATTTTACTCTATGCTTAATGCTTCTTGTTGATTGGTCATCAATGAGATTGTTGGGTTCACTTGATTGATGCTTGAAAGGGCTAGGTTGAGTGTAGGACCTGGGTAAAATTGTGTGAGAACTTGAAGTTTGCAAGTTGAAGGAATGGTTTTGTTAATGAGATAGAGATATACTCATTAACCTCACATGGTCATATAAGGTTTGCAATGAAAATTGGGGTTTAATTAATGAATTGAGAGATTAATAAACTAATTGAACTAAACACCTATTTGGAGACTTGAGAGAGCACTTGTAGGTAATTTAGTGTCCTTGGCTAGCTTAATCTATAATTAAGAAGCAAGTATATGATGGGGATTTAATTGAGTACTTTTGAAATACAAGGGGGATAAATAATCCTAGGATCCATTTTGTCCTCAGAGTTGAAGAATCACTTTTTCTTTTTCTTTTTATTAATTTCTAATTTTGGAAATAGTTTCCCCTCACTCTTGATATATTTGTGTAACTCAAATTAGGTGAAAGCGTGATAATCAATACTTGACCGGGTTTTATAACCAAATCCTCGTGGGAACGATACTCTACTCATCACTTTATTACTTGTGACGACCCGTGAACTTGCAGTGCAAACGTTAGGATTTAGCTCATTAACCTACTAATAAGCAGTGACGAACGTGTGCCCTCAACCCAACACAATTTTCCCCCAATTCTTGGCCCTCATGAATCCAATCTGATTTCCTCGCTGCTACCATGTGCCTACCGAGTGAAAGAGACTTATATAATTACCTTAATATGACTTGAGAATGGAGCAAATAAGATAAATTGAGGGGAGAGAAGAATATTAAATTAAACTAGCCAGTAATGGTCCAATTCTATATATATATAATTTATTCTTTAGTTCAAATATGGCTTTCATAATTACTAGACACCTCAAAACCCATAGTTCATCATCATTCTCTTCATCCACACTCTAATCACCAACCATGATTAAAAATGATTGTTATTATTTTGGTATTATGATAAAAACAATTAGGTTTATGTTAAACAGAAATATAAAAAATTATAATTTCATCATTAATATGGCAATAAAAAATTAAATATTTATTTATCTAAAGTTACAATTTAGCCCATTAACCTGCCAGCTTTGGACCTGCCAACTACGTATACCACAAGAAATAGACTTTTGTTACTTTAACATGACTTGTAAATGGAACAAGTAATTTAACATGCACTTCAAAATAAATTGCTCCGAGACGTGTTTTTATAACAAGCCTTTTCTAACTAGTATGTATATTAATAAGGTTTGTTTATATTGACTAGCAATGGTCAAGATGTTAACTTTTAATTAAGAAGTATGATTTCCTTGTTTTCTATATATTGTCTCTTTGTTTTTCTTTCTTCTCTATCTCATCTTTCCACTCATCTCTTGTTACGTTCTTCAAGATTTGGTTGGAAAAGTTATAATCTCATTCTGCTATTTCTTTGGTAAGGCTCTAGTTCTTTGTGTGATTTACTTTTGTCTCTGGGTAAATCCTCCCCTTTTCAGTTTCGAATTGATCTTCTTCACTTGCAATTGGGTGTCACGGTTATATCGTCTATTTGGGAATCTTGTTTGGACTAGTTCGATTTCCATAGAACTAGCTCTGACCCATAAATATTAGGGAGAAAGACATTTAAGAACCACCAAAATATACGAATCTAAAAATGATATCTCAAAATGACTTAATTCCAATGAAGTCCCTAAATACTATTTTGAAATTAAGTTTTGTTTTTGGGTGAAATGATCTAATTACTTCTACTGAAATTAGTTGTCCTTGCCTTTTTTTATTATTATTATTTGAAATGTTAAAGTTGTTACTTGTTCAACAGTTGTTTTAGGTCATTTCGCTTTTTCAAATTTTAGATTTCAAATTAAGAGCTCTAGGTCCTTATGAATTCACTGTAATTAGACTATTTGCATATTTCGGGGGTATTTTCATGTCTTTCTCCCTATGTAATTCTCATTTACGCCATTTCAATTTAAGTTAAAGAGTTTATACTATTTGAAAAAAAATATCAATAAATTTGACATGTAATGTGACATTAAAAAGATACCTGAATTCAAAAAGTTACATTTCTATTGTATAATTTCGGTTACGAAATTGAGTACAATTCATGAAAGTAGACTTGTACTAAAGGGAAAGAATGACGAGCTTTCTAGTTCCTAATTGACGCAAGTTATTATTTGGATAAATATTCATTTATAACTAAGAAAATTGAGTTGATTTAGATAGTTACCTCAATAATCTGTGCACGACGTCGTTCAGTTCAGAAGCATGCTTTTAAAAGTGAACTTTCGATATAACCCAAAAGTCTTTTAGGCTTGATACATACTATATATGGTCATGAAAATTGGTTAATTTTCATCAAAGCCAATTGCGCAGGACACAATGATGAACTCCAACGATATCGTTCATCAAGAGGAAGTGGAGAACTTATGTAAAGCTGGCAAGTGGGCAAAAGTCCTTAAGATGTACGAGGAAGAAAGGGATCTTCGTACGGCCAAGATAACTGCAACAGGAGACACCATATTACACATGGCAGTGCATAGTAAGAAAGAGCATGTTGTGGAATCATTGGTGGACATAGTTTGTGGTGGAGAGAAAATGAATGAGCAGGACAAGAAGCAGTCGGCGTCAGTTTCATCGGTGGATGAAAATGGAGATGAGAAGTCCGTCCTTAGAGTTCAGAATGAAAAAGGTGACACTCCTTTGCATTTAGCTGCTTCAATAGGAAATGCTGAAATATGTAAGAAGATCAGCGGCGTAGATCCCTCATTAATTGCCATACCTAACGGCAATGGCGAGACACCTCTCTTCATGGCAGGTCTCGATGGAAATAGAAAAGCTTTTCTATGGCTTCATTATCGGTATATGGAAAGCCCTGGAGTTTCTTCAACAGACTTTGATCACTCTATACTAAGGAGGAACAACGACGATACCATACTTCATTGTGCACTAGAAGAAGGGCATATCGGTAAATAGAAGCAAATTATTCATTCTTTCATGTGTGTGTGTATATATTACTGTGTTTTAATGTATTATTTATTCAAGTACGTGCACATGGTTTGATATGATTTCGTAGATGTCGCAATCGAAATAGTTCACCTTTATGAAGATCATTTGAAAGAGATGATCAAGCCCAATAAGAATGAGTTATCTCCACTCCATCTCTTGGCAGGAACCCCTTCAGCTTTCGAAAGTAATGATCTTCTTGATCGATCTTCCGTTGTTCAACTTCTTTATCGCTGTAAGTACATAATGTCTTTAATTTATGTGATATCACGCTTGCAACAATCTTGACAATTTTATGTCCTTTGCATCCAAACGAGTTGTCATATCATGCATTTTAAGCTTCCACTGACAATTCTTTCTATAATGTTTCACAATACACATTAAAAAATAGAAAGAAATGCAGTAGAGGAGCTCAAGTTGTCAAAATCTGATAAATTAGGTAGATGAATTTGAATCAGCTGGACTACAATTGAGTCCCAAGATGAGAAGGAGAAGATGGTAGGGACAGACATTTGTAGTCTGGTTTGGATGGTACGTGCATGAAATGTCTTAGTTAACAATGCATCACCATAAAACTAAATTGATAGATTATATTTTCTTGAGCCATCACCAACCTAACAACATGTCAATAGCGTCCTATTACGCCTCTTAGAAACTCCATTTTTCATTGGACTGCCAAGCATAGTTAGAGCTCCTTGAATTAGCCAGATAGATTTTCAACTTCATTCATGTATCATCTACATGCTCAAATTTATGCCGCATTTAAATGGAGAGAAAACTAAAGAGAAAAGAAAACTAAGGAAGAAAATATATAGGGAGAGAAATTAGTTTTGCCCAGATTGGATCAGGTGAGAAAAGTAGGGAAAAGAAGTGTATTGTCTGATACAAAAAACATATCCTACATGCCACAAGATCAACGAAAGCTTTGATATTAATGAGGGATTCACTGACGGATGAAAGAGAGGAGAGGGCATTTTTTTTCCTCTCTCGAGATTGACGGAGAAGGATATGCTTTGGAGGTTATGATCTTCCCAAAAAAAAGTCCTATATTCACTCCCTTTCCCATGTACGATAGCTATCTCCCCCAATATAGTATATCACAAGTATTTGCCCATACTTTTCATTATTTACGTTTATTCCCCAAAATAGCTTGGGCCATAATGCATCAAGTGTGAACCGGGTATAGCAACATTATTAAACTAAATGGATAAAAGAGGTGTTAAGAGGAATATATGAAAATGTTTTCTTTCTGAAAGAGGTACTTATATTTAGTACATAACAGTATCTCAAATAGGATTACCTCCAATTAGATGGTACTTATGCGTAGCAAAAAAAAAAGTTGAATTTGGCTGATATTTCTCTTATGTATGGCCTCAATTTTTTTTCTCAAAAAAACACGTTTCTCAAGAGTGCAAGTTTAAATTTTATATTACAAAAATAATAATATGCGTGCGACTTTTGGTTTGTTTGGAACTTTAAGGCCCTTTTAGAGTTAAGAGAAAGAAGCATGCTACGACGAAGGAAGAATTGGAACAACGTGAACGCGAACCACGCCTTGAGGCCCTCATTAAACGATTGATTGTTCGTATAGGTAAGTATGATTTACAAGCGTTATTCTTTAGTTATAACTACTACAATATATGAAGCGAACGATTAATAAACCAAACCACAGATAATTGCGAGAAGCCAAATCTCACGATGACCCCTACACATGAAAACCTAATTCCCAAGACTACCTTTAAAGCCTTCAAAACCTAGGATTTAATGCTAAGGGTCAAGTTTAGGAAACTTACCCAGGTGGTCTTGGCCTTTGTATAACTCCAGGAAACCCCAAAAATGCATAAAAGTTCACACCGTATATAGGACCACAACTTTATTTTTATAGCCATCCAAAATAATGTTTAATTCCACCTGATCACCTCAGGCTCTTAAAGCCTTCTCTGCCCATTTTCTAAGCAATATAAGACTTCTTGATCGAGGTCCATCTCCTCCCACCAAACCGTCAATGTTGGAATTTTTATTAGAGCATAAACTATTTTTAGTATCATCATCATCATCATCCTTCTAAACTTGAGAAAAACAAAACTTACAATGTTACAACTACATACCCTCTTTCAATTTTAAATTCATTTGATTAATAATTGTTAGCCCATGGCTAGGGTGATAATACCTGGGGGTTGGCCTAGGGTGGGGTCAACTCATATGGGTTAGGTTAGAAAGTGTTGTTTGAAGGCTTACCCTGTCATTTTTTGCGAGTTGAACCTGCGGGTTTAACCCATATTACTAGCTCTACCCATGGCTTTTCATCTTTACATGAATCACATATTTTTGTATAAACCAAACAAAAGTCACCAATCATGATAAAAGAATTATTTTTGTAATGCTGAAAAACTCATGCACTTCTAAACTTACGAACTCCAGCAGAATTATTGTATTATTATCGATTTTAGCTATATAATCTCACTATTTGAGTCAAATTTCCAACATATGAGTATTATCTCCATTTCTTATTTCTTTCTTCAAATTCAACAAAAATTTTACATTAACAAAATTTAAAGGGCGAATGTCAATAGTAGTATATGGTTTATTCATGCATGTCTAGCAACTACTACTTTCGGTTCTTAATATAAAACTCAGTTAACTAATTTGGAAAGATTAAAAAAGTTATCAAATTACTTTAAAGTATTTATATTTATCATTTTTTTAAACTAATTTACTTCACTTATAAATTGATATACAATCTAATTAAGTAATAAATTTTGTGACTCATATTTTCAGATCGTTTTGTTGATTATCATGAAACATCCACTTGGGCGGGGATTAGGATTGCAATTGGGATTCTGCTGCTTCTTTTGGTGGTGATACTGCTATTCCCCCCAGCATTTGTAGGTACGCCATGTCAATGTGCACAAAAGAGAATCATGAACATATATAAGCACACGTATATGATTTATATAGCTATCTCTATAACTACTACTACTATTCCCAGTGAAAATTAAAGTCGGCCCAAATTAAAGCAAGAACTACAAAGAGAAGGAATGCCTATATACAAGAAACTAGAATGTCATGAAATCTTCGGATAAATTGTTAATTAAAAGACTCTAATCAATAGCATTACTAAATGTTCCCTTTAAAGTTTCCCTGGCCCCCCTCACAAAAATCACTATTGTTCTCTTTAGCATCTGCAATGTCCTCAGTTTTTAATTTGTACATGCCCAAACCACATTAAATGATTTTTACGTGAACTCTCCCTCTTATGTGTTTATTACAAGTTTTAGTTTTTCTTATATGTCCATGAATCTATCTCATTAAACCGCAGTTCAACCAATTCCGTGCTTGGTACAGATCAAAATACCAGCACTTCACAACAAATTCTCTTAACAAGTGACAACGTTATTTTCTGCATGCCCCCCAAACGAAAAAACTTCACCTTCGAAGGAACTTTTTAGTTCCCATATTTCCTTCTATATTGGAGCTAGAGGTCGATTGGAAGGCCCTAGTCTGGTGTTAATAGTCTAAAATATTAGACGTCTTAGCTACTCGATATAACTAAACTCACCAATTCTGCAACCATTCACTTTTACTTTTCTCTTATATTTACATTTCTCTTGTTATTAGACAGATTATCTTCTTTAATTTGAAATATTTTCTTAGCAGACATTTCATTAAGATATTATAAGTGATGATTCGTGTCATGATATATATATATATATATTTCTTCTAATTCTATCCATCCTGTGTGTTACATGAGTTGATAACTACATTCTTATGAGTATTTATGTAGTGGAACTATTGAATAAAAGTAATTCATATGCCGCTCTATTGAAATTTTAAATGTAAGGAAAAATCCTAATAATATTATTGATGGGTTAAACTCCATGGCCAAATAGAAAAGTTTGAATGAACATATTTTATTTTAATTATACATAATTATAAATTATTTTTAAATACCATTTCGTTAAAAGTATTTTGCTGCAACTGACTCGGGGTTCTGAACTTTGGATTCTGATTCCTAGAAATGCTGTTGCATAAGATACGAAACTTGAAGGAAAAGCACACATGGTCTGTTCAAATAGTGGAAAAACTTCTCCTGCATGCTGCCCCTGAAGATATGTCAGCAAATCCATATGAAAAGGACAGCGGTAATTAATAGATTTATGAAAACTCCAATCGTTAGTTCGTAGTTAAAGCATAATTAATTTATCATAAATATATATAACATGACAGTTTAGGATGAGTAGTATTAATCATTCTTGACCTTCACCTCGCTGGATTATCAGTGCGGATTAAATGGTTAGTTAATAATAAAATGTATGGACTAAATTACGTCATCAATATCTTCTGAGTTTTTTGTTCAAATCATTTATACTTTCTTAAAATAATTTAAAAATTTCTTTGAAAACGAAAATGTAAATTATACAAAATATTCTTGAATATTTTTATTAAATTACAGAAACATTCTTTCTATTTTCAAAATGCATGCAAGTTTTAAAATATAAATTAATTGCAAATATTTGTCATGAGCGATTTGAAATTGCATGATCCTTTTTCCTATCTTCACGAAAAGTTTGTGCATATTTGAAAAATAGAAATATATATTAATCTAATTTTAATATATATTCAAGAGAGATTTGTTGAATTCAATCTTCATTTGAGCTGAAATTGTGTAAATTTTGAAACATAAAGGAGATGCCCAAGTAATTTTAACAAATTTTATGATCGGATGAACATTATCAATATCAAATATTTTATTATCGATCTAACTTTAACAATCTGAATTTAATTAGAATTGTATAACGTACTCTTAAAAATTTTTCTGATTTTGTGTGGAATAGTCCATGGGCTTTTTTATTTAGCGTTATTTTACACCTATAATCCTCTCTACGTTATGATTGACATCAAAATTACCTATATATCTTCAATGAATAATGATCGATCGAGTTTGGTTAAATAATTAATTCAGTCAATTGTAGTCTTTTCGTTAGGATGATTTTTATCTGCGACAACAACGTTAACAATCTAATTTTGTGATTTGGACTGTGAATGATTGGATAGGGCCAGGGTCTAAAATAGTTGACACACCCCTAATGATTGCTGCTAAGAATGGTGTAATAGAAATGGTACAAAAGATCCTAGAATTTTTTCCATCTGCAATAAAAGTTGTAAATGAAGAGAAAAAGAACATAGTTCTATTAGCGGCAGAAAAGAGGCAGACCAAGTTGTATCGGATTTTGCGTGGAAATGAAAAGCTTGACAAAAGTGTATTTAGTCGAGTGGATAAAGATGGAAACACTGCATTGCACTTGGCAGCCAGGCTTGGGGTCCACCTAAATTGGCAGACAACAACCATGGTAGAGGAATTCAAGTGGTTTGAGGTGCGTATCTATTTACTATATATTACCTCCGGTCCTTCATATAAGAACTAGTTGACTAATTTGAGTATATTAAGAAAATTAGTTAAATTAGTTATTTATAAAAATAGATGTTGTCTTCCCTAAAACACTCTTACTAATTGTGTCTATTAGATAGAACTATCATTTGATAAAACTTTTAACATATGCAACTACTCCAAGGATTACCTTGAAAAAAATGGATATGTATGAGAGATAAAATGAATTGGAGTCTTATATTTATAACCAAATTGAATGTCAAACTAGCTCTTATATTAAAGACCAGAGGTAGTATTAAAATTTCTCTGTCTTAGCCATGAAGTCTAATAAAAAATTAAGATGCCGATTATCACTTTAGATCAAAGATTTATTCAAAATGTTGGATAAATAAGCATATTATGGTATATATTTAAATGGTGATGCAGTTTGTGAAAAGGTCAGTGCCTTCTGATTTGTGGGAGATATACAACAAGGAAGGGAAAACCGCAGAAGAAATCTTTAGAGAGAGTTACAAGGAATATATGACAAGCGATAGAGATTGGTTGAATCAGACCTCGCAAGCATGTTCTGTGGCATCAACCCTAGTTGCGTCTATGGCCTATTCCTATATCGTGGCAGAGAATTTCGATGAAAAGAACTACCCAGCAATTGTGGCCCTTTCCTTGTCCCTCACTTCCACCATCTCTTTTCTGGGCATACTTGCTTTTCGTTCTCAATCTCTTAAATTTTGGAAATACGTTCCTTTCATGCTTCAAATTGCTATTTTGACCATGTTCGGCACCATTGTTGCTTTGTGGATCTCTCTCATGCTCCTTGGCAAATCTTTAACAACTTACGCAATTCTTGGCTCACCAATTGCCATCCTTACCATTGTCTCACTACCCATCTTCATTGGTCCTACGTTGATGTCTTTGTTTACCAAGGTTCCACCCCCTGACCGCAGCACCACAAGTGCCATCCGCTACCGAAGGCCCCAGAAAAAGGAAAACGAAACAGATCCAAACTCGCAAAATTAAGTTCATGTCTTGCTATTTAAACAACGCAATCCATCATTGATCACTTTCATTTGAAAACCTGTTGTGTGTGTAGTTTGAAAGTTTTGTATCCCTTTTGTTTGCAATTATGTGTGTGTAATGAATAAGTATACTATTCCAATATTATGGTACTGTACTTGGAGGTTAATTTGTGATACTTATTTCTTGGGCCTCACTTATACATCTTCTTTTCTGGGGGTTCTCATAATGATGCCAATCTGCATTGTGGCTCAGTCATTATATGTAGTCTAGTAGTAATTAAATCAGACTCATATTTCAGATAGGAGGAATATAAAATTATTTTTGTGGGACCCAAGTGCCATTCCTTCTAATTTCTACATCCATCCAAGCCCTTATCCTTGTGCTAGCTTCGCACTTTCCCGCACACTTCTTCTGTCACAAGAAATTTCTGTGCTCTATGGTAAGTACATCTATAGATTTCATTAATGGTTATATGCTATTCTAAAAGTTTGATGCAAGTACTTTTTTTGGGTTTGACAGTCGCCTATGGCCTGGTCTAGTCTGGCCTGTTTAAAAATAGGAATAGGTCAAGGCTTTTTAAAGGCTTTTTTTTTTCCCCTAACAAGCCAAATCTAGGTTCTTTAAAAACCCTTTTAAGCCTGTCAGGCCGGTTTGAGCCTGTTATAATTTTAGTTTTTTTGGTACAGTTTATAATTTTATTAATCATTAACTAATCTATCCTATCCCAACGTTTTTTATCAGACCTATGCAGGCAGCGTGATATTGTTTTGCCGTAAAGAGCAGATTGCTTTTCTAAACAAGTAAAACAAACACCAGTCTAAAAAAACAAACAGCAGCCAAAAAGAAATAGTCAAACAATAAAAAAGTCTTCAAATAAGAAACGACCCAGGGTCCAAATTAAAATTTCTAACGGGAGAATCTTTACCAATCAGCAAATGCAACTGATGAGGATATGTAAGTTTATATCAAGTTTTAGAGTAAATTACATTATTTTAACTATATCTTCGATATGTAAATTTATATGAAGTTTTGGAGTAAATTTTATCCTTGATAACTTATTAATATTAATAAGAATCAATATAAAAGGCCTTCTTTATATTTGGGGTAAAAAGACCCTTTTAATGAATTTTCTTTTTGAAAAATACAGGTTTTCTTAAACAGGCTTCAAGCCAAGCTCAAGCTAAGAAAAAAAAAAACCTATGACAAGTCACAAGCCAGGGACCAACTTGTTACAAGATTGGCCTGGCCTGTTAAAAGTGAAACCTGACCTGTTTCCACGAGTATGCAAGACTCAGCACTCTTCCATTAGTATTTATTTAATTTTTGAATTTTTGAATTAAAGGGGTGCAAGCACTATGCACTAATAACAGCTTGAGGTTAAAAGTGAGCTTACTAAGTGTCGAGGGTTCGATCCTTGGAAAGTTTTAAAACTCCAGGCCGGCTGTCCCACCCATCTACTCATCAAGGTCCCCACAAGTCAAGGAAGGGATTAGCCATTGGGTTCAAGGGTGGATAACCTGGGAATACTAATCCAAAAGAAAAAGTGAGCTTGCTTGCTACAGGTAGGCGAATTGGCTTATTATTTCAATTTCAACTACCCATCAATATTTCCGTCCAATATAATTGAACATGACGTGATTCTCAATTATTGAACATTTTTTATGCCAATATATATATATATATATAATAGAATATTTTGCCAGGTCATCTGTTGACTTTTTGTGGTTCCAAAATCTCATATCCACTTCCTGTGTGAGTGTGACACTGTAAGGAGAGAGAGAGATGAACATTTCATAGAGGCATTAAGAGGGAGTATGGGAGAACAATTGAGACAACTTTCAAAGAGCCCATGCTTTTACATTTTTAAATTTAACCTTTACTCTCTCAATTCAAAATTATGAGACACTTTTAATTAATTTACACTCTCAATCAGTTAGTTAATAATTTTTAAATTTATTTATTCTATTCATATTTTCTCTTACTTATCAGGGCATCTCAATTATAAAACTTTATTAATTGCACTTCCTAATTGTTCGCACCACAAGTGCTATAACATCGTACTCTATACACCTAGACGAAAGCAGATTTAAAAACTCTGGTCGAGAGTTTACACATAAAAGGTGACATTTTTAAAACGTTTTATCTAACTTTGTCTCAAAACTTATAACTTTAAACTTTGAAAGTTTTATATGATATAATAAGACCTGAATTCATACTGCTTTGATCCAATAGCAACAACTATTTATCAGAGCCATATAGATGTTACTTCAGAAAACTCTACTTTTTTGTTTCAGCCCTAATAAATCATATTTTGTAAATCCTAAACCATTCATACTATCGATTGGTCATTAATATATGCATATATGTATGCTAAGCTACCCCCAAACACTTCTCCTTATGGAGGTACATACATCCCATAAGTAGAAATTACATAACTTCACCAAAATTGAAATATAAGCATCACAAAAGGAAGGGGGAAACAAACACATAAAACATTCAAGATTAATGAACTAACTAAATGCTAAGCTCTTCTCTCCTTCCACCTTAGCTAAGGTTACACCAACTTCTCTTTTCCTTTGGATGAATTGGGCCCTCTGGTTAAATAGAAAGGAGGGGTGAGATTCAAAGAATCCTAGTAGCAATAATCATATTTCATATATTATGCATGGTATAAAACTAAGCATGCAAAATAAGCTATGGAGAACAACACTTTACAAAATAATTGAACTAAATAACCAACTGAGGCATATTCGTTATCATTTAACTGAATCTCATATAACTATTGTGCATAACTAAGTAACTGAATAACTAAACAGCTGCTAACTGATTAACTGAGATTAACTAAGCATATACATACTGATTAACTGAACAGCTGCTAACTGATAACTAAATAACTGAGTAGCTTCTATCTGATTGACTGTATAACTGTGCAGCTGCTATTTGATTAACTAAATAAGTGTGCAGCTGTTAACTGATTAACTATTAAATGCGCATATACTGGATAACAAAATGTATGCACATGGCCATGGCAATAGCTGGTAAGGCAATTTACATGTTCTCATGCTTAACTATAACATTATGGCACAAACACACATGCAACCAAAGCAAAACATATAAAATAATGATTAGCTACCTTCCGCCTACTCTCCTGTGCAAGTACCTTGCTCTTGGTTTCTTCTTGGTAAACTAGGACACCAATTAAATCCTAAATTACAAGTACATATATCAGGTGAGTTAAAATTGGGATTCTGATTAACCCATAACTAGCTAAATCTTTTTATAACCCTCGCTCAGGTGTACTCTCATCTCTTAAGGTGGTTGGTCATCTTGGCCCAAAATTTACACTTCATCTACATATTTCCAAAGGTTTCTAACACTTCCCCTTTCTTATGTTTCTCTTAACTTCTTATTCTATTATGATTTAGTTAAGAGAGTACGATGTAACTTAGTTATCAACTCTTCATGCTTCTAAATAATTGCTTAGTATGCAAGAACATAAAACAACAAACTTAAATCATCATTCAAATCCTCTTCGATCATAAATAGCTATACAGAACATTAACTTGACATCTAGAGATTTTTCAAATTAGTTCCACAGGTCTAGTTCACTCTTATACATTCCACAAACATGGATGGTTTCATCAAGCATTTCGGCTTCCTTTATTATCTGTTTTGAACATTCAATCTCACTCACATAGCTAAGAATAAGTTTAACATCTAAACATATAATTCAGCGACCGTACTTGAGCATTTGTTTAACATTATATATCAGCAACTTTATATTTGTAAATACCAAACAGCAACTTTTGTTAGATTTTTAGCTCTAAGCCTTTTATTCTATCCATTATATTAAGTCTTTAATAATTCACACATTGTCATTCTTAATGAAACAGTGACTGTTTTATGTCCTTAATCTAAATTACAGAACATGAGATTGTAATATTAACATAATCAGTTCTTACGCAGCAAACATGACTACTCTTAATAGAATTGAGAATTCCTAACTTTTGGTTGTCACTCTGACCATTATAGATGTAATAACCTGAAACTTTTAAATTAAGTAATAATTATATAAATTGTCACAGCTTGAGTACAAAGAGGAGGTGAGAGATAGTTGGCAGCGAAGGGTGCTAAAAGATTAAAGGTCCCAGGTTTGAATCCTCCATTTGTTTAGGGAAAATCTTTTTTTCCTATTGTATAAAAGTTACTTAAATACTAAAAAAAAATGAAGTGGCATCAGATGTTTCACAACGCCAACATTTTTTTCAGTGAGAAAAGGGAGTGGAGGTAGAAGTTTCTCGATTTGAAGCTAAAAACCCTAGCCATCCTTCACCTACGTCTGACTTGACCGTCGCCGGCGTTCACTACCACTGTCTTCTCCTTCATTCAAGGTTCTATTTTTTTCCTTCTTCTCTCTCTCTTTTCTTCCTTCTCTTCTCCTATTTGACACTAATATCTGCTTCTTCCTCCTTCATATTTCAGTTCATTGCTTTCTTTCTCTTTCTTCTTAAGCGACTTTCATGGTTGTAACACAGGGAGGAGTTGTAAAATTTTTCAGGCGCCTCCAGTATCTCTTCATTGCCATTTTCTTTCTGTTGCGATCAAGAGTTATGGCTATTTAAGGAAAATGGTTCTACTCTGCTAAGGTGCACGATCAAAGGCATTTAGAACCCCATTTCTTCTTCCTTCACGGTTACATCTAGTTAATTTCAGAAAAGAGAAATCTTGAGCCTGTTTAGAAGAAGTAGGAAGGATCTTATGTGTTGAAAGGTAACTTATAATTTTTGATCGGAGGAATTGTTTGAGGCTTGTGATTGGTTGGTGTTGTTTATTTTAATTTGTATGATGAGTTTTAATGAAGAAAAAAATGTTTGAGGAATTTCCTTAGATTGGGTGAATGTTAGTTCTACGAACTAATTTTGAATGCCTCTAAGATGTTTGGTAAAATGCCTACACGAGAGAAAGAATTATTGGTAGGTGCTTCTATGATATCTTGATGG